TCCAATGTGTGATGTTTAACTTGGACATTAAGTTACCTTAGAACATGGGGAATGGTGGTATGATTAGGATTCTAAGTCTCCTCCTCCTATATATACTACGTACCCCTCTCTCTCATCTCATACGAAATAAAGTTCTCAACATCAAGGGCTTTATGGAAAGACGAGAGACGTGGGAGAGAGAAACAATTCATAGGGAAAGACAAATTCATCATTGGAGATTGGAGGAAGAGGATTGGAGATTGGAGAAAGATCAACATCATAGATGAACAGGGAAAGACTATAGCTGTGTTCTTGTAAGTTTTATGTGCAATTTAATTTATGCAAAGATTTATGTTCTATGAATTGATAGAATTACATGCTTAGGGTTTATTCAATTCCGCCTAATAGTTATGGATATACACGTTAAATTTCTTACAAGAAGTACACACGATCAGGTTGTACACAACAGCTGTTGCAGATGCCATGTGTAATGGACAATCTAAGACCGATGATTGAAATCCGGTTGATGGAACAAAGCATCTGAACCTCAAAGAAGGGGATGCAAATGCAGTTTATAATTTCTTTTGTCGTATGAAGCGACGAATCCAAATTTCTTTTATCTGTTGGATCTTGATGAAGAGGGGCACTTGAGGAATGTTTTGTGGGCTGATGCTAGGTCTAGGATTGCATACAACTACTTCTGCGACACAATCATGATTGACACAACAAGTTTGACGAACAAATACGAGATACCATTGGTTTCGTTTGTGCGGGTAAACCACCACGGGCAATCTATTCTGTTGGGGTGCGGCTTTCTGGGACACGAGTCGGCCGAGTATTTCATTTGGATGCTTAGGGCGTGGCTTACATGTATGCTGGGTCGTCATCCGCAAGTTATTGTTACCAACCAGTCCAAACCGCTGGTGATGGCAGTCTCCGAGGTATTCCCACTGGATCATCACTGTTATTGTGTCTCTTATATAATGGATCGTGTTCCTGGAAAAATGGGTGGAATGGTCGGGTTTGAGGAAATACAGCGGCAACTGCATAAAGCAGTTTATGATGCCTTGAAGATATCTGAGCTTGAGAAACTCTGTGGGGAGATGATTAATCATGGGGGAGAATAAATGGCTCCAGTTATTGTGTGAAGATCGGCAAAGATGGGGACCCGTATATTTAAAAGACACAGTCTTTTGGGGGTATGCTCCCAATACCCCCATCTTTGAAAGAATTCCTTGACATGTATGACCTGGCCCTACAAAGAAACCAAATGAAAGAAGCCCAGGAAGATTATGAGTCAAGAAATTCAAACTTTGAGTTGAAAACAAAATCAAAATTTGAGCTGCAGCTGTCTAAGGTTTACACAAGGAAAATGTTCAAGAAATGTCAAATTGAAGTTGAAGGTATGTGTTTTTGCTTCAACACAAAGCTGAGCAACTAATAATGACCCAGTAACAACATTTGTCGTGGAAGAGCGAATAGAAACTGGAGGAAATGAGAAGGAAGTCAGACATTATGAAGTTCTATTTGAGTCGACCAGAGCAGAAGTTAGCTGCATTTGTGGTTTGTTCAATTTCAAAGGCTATTTGTGCAGGCATGCCTTGACTATTCTTAATTACAATACATTCTGCCTCGTTGGAATAGTGATTACAAGCTCAACTTTCTCTTAGACATTGGATTTGGTGATGCTGATGGTGATAATTCCGTGTTGCGGTACAATTATCTTTTTAGGCGCGCCCTTCAAGTTCTTGAAGAGGGGACACAATCAATCCCTACAACAGTATGAAGCTGTAATGCCAGAATTAGACACCTTACTCACTAGATTTAGTCTTGAGTCTAGTTTCAATTAATAATGTAACTTCTTGTATATTGAACCTTATAGTTTCAATTAATATTATGGAAGCCGCCAATATTATTTTGTATATTTACCATGTATTGAATTGAAATATTCCGTACAGAAAAGTGGGTTGTGAACTTGTGATATTAGATTGAACAAAAATTATTAACATAGACGTGGTCGACAATATAAATTATCATACAAGCAGTGTTATAGAAGTAGCTAGGCGACATTAGACGCTCGGTCAACGCCTAGACAGCTTAGGCGGGGCTGAGTTGATGCTTAGGTGGGGCTTAGAAATTAAGATTAAATACCTTATTTTTAATTTATTTTCACTACCTACAAAATAAAACAATCTCAACTTATAGTAAATCAAGACACTTAAGTCCAATAATAATATTAGTATATTATAAATAGAAGATGATAACAAAATAATGTAATTAGTATTTAAAAAATAAAAAAATTGAAAAATTTCTGCCGAGTCCGCCTAGGAGCGCCTATGTCCGCCTAGCCGCCTTGTCGATTTTTTCAACCGATTTATGCAAATTGGAGGCGGCCAGGTAGCGCCTAGGTGGACACCTAGGCCGGCTTTTAGAACAGAGCATACAAAGAACAAGATAAATAATTTTTTATTGTAAAAGCAGAGTTGTACTCATTATAAAAATTATATTCATTGACATGAATAATATTTTTATTGTTCTTAAGAAATATGACATAAAAAATGTGTTATTCCTAATATAATAGTTATTTTTTACTGTAGTTTTACCTATATGAAGACGGTAAATGGAGTTTTGGCAAGTAAAAATATTCACACCTACCACGAAAAAGTCCTCGTCCATTTCAAATGTGAGTGGGTTAGTTTGGTAGTTGGAGTAGAGTGTATCTGGCCTCAAGCAAGCAACCACCACCGGAGCAAAAAAATGTCGTCGACCGGTGTGATCAAGTGCAGGGCGGCGGTGGCGTGGGCTGCCGGCGAGCCACTGTCGATTGAAGAGGTGGAGCTCAGCCCTCCTCAGCCCATGGAGATCCGCATTCAAGTCGTCTCCACTTCTCTTTGCCGCAGTGACCTCTCCGCTTGGCTCTCTCAGGTTCCTCCCTCTCTCTCTTTCAATTTTTTTTCATCTTGCTGCTACTCATATCTATTCCATCTATGGTGATGATTATTTTGATTGCTTGCGTCATTTGAAATCCGTTGACAATATACATAAACGAAATTAAATGGGGTATCAGCAAGGATCGGCTTTGATAAACTTCCTGGCAATTCGCCTCTTTCGGGATCTTCTACGACTCTATTAGCTTCTTTCTTCCAACGGATATCGCTCACCTAAGAAAGAGCTGTGGCACTTTTTCGGTCAATTGCTGAGAAGCAGACGATTTTGGCTTAGAGATATGCGCCTTCTTTCTAATTGATAATAACTGGGTTTTTGGAATTATGACACTTTCGGCATCCATTTCGTCTCTGCAGGCACCACCACAACTTTTCCCTCGAATTTTCGGCCATGAGGCATCAGGGTGAATTTTCTTCTCCTCCTTCCTGCTAGCCTAAATAATAAAATATAGACTTTCTATAACTTATATGTTATGCATTTATATCGAGTTCGAAGGATCTGGATGGATCTTTACGTGGCATTTAATTAGAAAATTGATGAATTCTGGAAAAGCAAAATGCCTTCCTAAACTTGTAGATGCATACCTGCAGGATTGTCGAGAGCGTGGGCCAAGGAGTAACCGAATTCAGAGAGGGAGACCACGTGCTGACTTTGTTTACTGGAGAGTGTATGAGTTGCAGGCAATGTGTTTCGGGTAAAAGCAACATTTGTCAAGTGCTAGGGCTCGAACGCCAAGGTGTAATGCACAGTGACAAGAGGACACGTTTCTCGATCAAGGGAAAGCCCGTCTATCACTATTGTGCCGTTTCGAGTTTCAGCGAGTACACGGTTGTGCACTCTGGATGTGCTGTCAACATCAGCCCCACTGCACCTTTGGAGAAAATATGCCTTCTCAGTTGTGGAGTTGCAGCAGGTGCTTTATCTTTATTATTATTATTCCCATGCTGATGGTATAAAGTAAGTTTGACGATGGTCTCGGCCTCATCCTCAATTAGTACTGTTTCCATGTCTTTCTTTCTTTCTTGGCTTAGATGTAGGGCTCCTTCTATAACAATGGAAAATATAAAACTTTAGGGGAAGAAAAAAAAAAAAATCAAGTTTTCAGGCTGTAGAGCATCACTTGCATTTGTTGTGGTCCAGTTTTGATGTGGAAATAAAAAAGCTTCCTTATTTTGCTTCACAACTAGGTCTGGGTGCAGCTTGGAAGGTTGCAAATATCTCACAAGGATCGACAGTTGTTGTTTTTGGTCTGGGAACTGTAGGCCTTTCTGTGAGTTCATGGCTTTGTGCCAGACTTATCGAGATTTACATTTTACAATCGCTAACTTCCACAAATCAAGAGTGCTTGAAATTTGCTCTTCGTGTTTGTCTAGGTTGCACAAGGTGCTAAACTGAGGGGGGCATCCCGAATAATTGGTGTCGACACAAATCCTGAGAAGAGTGTAAAAGGTAATGGAATTTTGTGGTTGTGGTATTCACAAGTAACATTACATGTAATGCCATAGAAGATCTTCTGGGGACTGTCGTTTTATGTGTTGTTGATGATACAGCAATGGCTTTTGGAGTAACAGACTTTCTGAACCCAAATGATCACGACCAACCAATTCATCAGGTTTATTTTTCTCATTTAATTTATGTGGTATCTGTGATATATTGTGTTGTTAAATTTCCCTGCACCACTGGAATTCCATTAATTGAGTAAGTTTTCACACAAATTCCTGATCTTATGCTTTCTAACTGTAAATCTAAGTTTTGCGTGTTTGAATCCCGTTTGCAGGTTATTAACCATATTACTGATGGAGGGGCGGACTATGCATTCGAGTGTGTTGGAGATACTGGAATGGTTACCACTGCTTTACAGTCTTGCTGCACTGTAAGAATTTATTCCCCGTTGACTCGCATAATTCTTTGGAATTTTGAGCGAAAACTGACTTGTGTGTCTCGTGTGTAATCAGGGATGGGGTTTGACGGTGACCCTTGGCGTGCCTAAAGAGAGGCCAGAGATAGCAGCTCACTATGGACTCTTTCTCACTGGAAGAACGCTAACAGGATCTCTCTTTGGTGGATGGAAGCCAAAATCCGATCTTCCTTCACTGGTCGATAAGTACCTAAAGAAGGTAAGTACATAATTATAACCATGTAATTAATGATGACTATTTGAACTCAGGGAGCTGATTATATACATATTTTTACATCAAGAGGGCAATCGGTTGGATATCTATCTGATCAAGGAAACACTTGTAGGCCTGTGGCTGACCTTGTTATAATTTGTATCCGCAGGAAATTGAAATTGACGGCTATATTACTCACAATCTGGAGTTTTAAGATATAAATAAGGCATTTGAGTTGATGAGAGAAGGCAAATGTTTGCGTTGCGTTGTACACATATCAAAGTAGAGAGTAGTGACTTATGGTGCAACCCGACGTGCAGGAAGAAGTGATTATCCCATAAGACACTGCTATTTAGCAAAAGTATTCGGTTCTTATTTCATGTGCATGAACACAAAACAAATACTGTAGACACTTGAGCAAAATGTTACTTTTGCTCATTTAAGTGGAACCTACAACTAAAAGTTTGAAAGTTCGGTAGTTTAAAAGTTCCATTATAAAGTTCCATTATAGCAGAAGTAATCGCCAACTATCAATAAATTCTCAAGATAATTTGATGCATTGGAGATTATATGATTTGATGAATCAGTTGTGCTGTCGATCCATTGGCTCATTCATTTTATTGAGCATTTGGAACAAAAATTCTTGTTGTTTTTTGTTGGAATAGATGATTTAGTGTGCAAGTTTTTTTAAAATTCTGTTGTTTTCTGTTATTTTTCGAACAGTGTAAGTGTGGAAGCACGCGTGCGTGCGTTTTATCCTTTTTAGCTGCGTTTTAATAAGTAAGAACGTCGTCGTTTTAAGTGTGTGCGAGGGTATGAGAAAATGACGACGTATTGTACTTGCATGATCATATTAAATGCTCAGTTTTTCCCCATTTTCATGCATAACAGAAAATTAAGCTCAGCTATGGCGATTTCCTTTTCTTTCGAATGATTTCTTAGAATTCTACATGGTACCAGAGCGGGCGAGCTTGGAGATCATCGTTTTCGCTTAAATCGAGCTTCTCACACAGTAGATCGAGCTCAATCGTTACTCAATCATGGCGCTTCGCGATTCTGCAGGGGCACAAGATCCCTTTTCACTTCACGGTTCCGATAATCCTGGTATGATGCTCGTTACAAATCCTCTTACTTGGTAATAACTATCTATCGTGGAAAAGGTCAATGATTATTGCTTTGAGAGCTAAAACTAAGCTCGGATTTGTGAATGGTGAGGTGATTATGCCTGATATTGATGATGATGAGTATGTGGTTTGGAAAAAGGTCGATTCCATGGCTTTGTCATGGATTTTGAACTCGCTTTCGAAGGAGATAGCTGAATCGCTCTTAAATGCGGATACTGCTAAGGAGCTGTGGGAGGATATATGCCAATGTTTTGGTGAAAATAATGGACCAATGAAGTATAAGGTTCAAAGAGACATCTGTAATCTGAGTCAAGGCAATAACACGGTCATGGAGTACTTCAATAAACTCAAGAGACTCTGGGACGAGTATGCCTGTTTAATGCCTCTTCAAGTCTGTAATTGTGAGAAAGGGAAAATTATGGCACAGCATGAATCAGAGACTAAGCTAATTCAGTTTTTGATGGGGCTTAGTGAGGTGTATGACAATGTGAAAAATCAGATCATGCTAATGGATCCTCTTCCAACAGTGAACAAGGCCTACTCTATGATGTTGATAGCTGAGAGACAGAAGGGAGTGCAAAACGAATATGGAGGAAAAATGGAAAACATAGCCATGGTGGCAAAGACAAGTTATGGAAGAGGAAGTTTTCCAGGCAAAAACTGGGAATCCAGTGGAAATAGAGGTAGAGCACCTCAGAGAATGAGCAAGGAGGAGAAAGCTAAGCTTATTTACGATAAATGTGGCATGAAGGGACACAATGTCACAACATGTTTCAAAATACATGGAGTTCCTGATTGGTTCAAGGAAATAAAGGGGCAACAGAACATAAGTTATGCAAATGCAGCTGAGGTGTGTGATTTTGATAGCAAATACAACTCAGCAAGGGAAGAAAAGAAGCAAGGCACCACACAAGATCTGAACTCAGTAATACAGCAACTGCAGGAACTCACAAAATACATCAAAAACAAAGAAGAATCAGAAGCTAAGGTGAACTATGCTCAATTTGTGAGTTTTAAGGAGCAGGAGGACAATAACAAGGTTCACTTTGCCCTCTCTGCAATGAGTGGCACAATGCAAGATGAATGGATTGTGGACAGTGGAGCAAGTAAACACATATGCAAAAATGAGAACCAGATGCAAAACATTGAAACACTGAGAGAACCAGTGGTTATATGCCTGCCAGATGGATCTTTGAAGAATGTGCAGTACAAGGGAGAGGTGCAATTGGATGAGAATATTACCCTGCAAGATGTTCTGTTAGTACCAAGGAAATAAATAGCTCGCTAAAGTTGCCGCTATTTGAGAAATAACTTTTTTTGGCAGCGTTCCGCTATTTGTATTCATGTGCAATTTAGCCGCTAAATCTCGCTAAATCTCCGCTATAGCTCCGCTATAGCTACAGTGTCATAAACGTTTTAGCCCGCTATTTAAAACCTTGGTTAGTACCATCATTCAGGTACAATCTACTCTCAGTTATGCAGTTATGTGACAAAAATAAGCTGAGATGGGTGTTTACTGGAAATCAGTGTTATCTAGAAAATCAACAAACACAGCAAATCTATGGATATGGTAAACTAACTGGAAACCTATATGTTTACTGTAGAGCAAAGGGTGTGACTAAGAAGATAGAAAATTGCAACCTATCTTTGGTGAATTGGCACATGAACTTAGGACATGCTCCATTCACCAATTTGAAACACCTCTCATTCCTACAAAACAAATGCAATGGTCAAACTGAAAAGGAGCTGCACTCATGTGAGGTGTGTTACAAAGCTAAACAACACAGACTGCCTTTTACAAGAAGTACAATACAGACCACCAAGTGCTTTGAGCTACTGCATTTAGATGTGTGGGGTCCATGTAAGGAAGAATCCATGACTGACACTCTCTACTTTCTTACCATTGTTGATGACTATAGTAGAGCTACCTGGGTAATTCTCTTGAAGCATAAATCACAAGCTGCTGGATTTGTGAAGGAATTTGTGATCATGACAAAAACACAGTTTCAAATGAAGGTAAAAAAGATCAGATCTGATAATGGGAGAGAATTTGTCAACAGTGAGCTACTTGACTTTCTGAGATCAAAGGGGATATTGCATGAGACAACTTGTGCCTACACACCACAGCAAAATGGTGTAGTAGAAAGGAAACATAGGCATCTGCTAGAAGTTGGGAGATCTTTGCTTTTCCAGGCCAACTTACCCATCAAGTTTTGGCCTTATGCTATTTTAACAGCTGCATATGTGATTAACAGAGTTCCCTCCTCTCTGCTTGATTGGGAAACACCCTATGAAAGAATATACCATAAACCACCAAAATATGACAGGATGAAACCCTTTGGTTGCCTTGCATATGCAGCAAATGTGCAACCTCACAAGAACAAGTTTGATCATAGAGGGACTAAATGTATATTCATTGGATATGTGACAGGAAAGAAAGCCTATCAACTATACAGCTTGGATGTTAATGAGTTAATAACAGCTAAGGATGTGGTATTTCTGGAGGACACCTTTCCCTTTCAATAATGTGGAGACAGCAGGAAGATAGTGCTACCACAAGTGATGGATGATGTTGTAGAAGAAAACACTGACCTTGACAGCCATGGAGATACTAGTGTGTCCTTACCTACCATTGTTGAACCTGAGCCTAGAAGGAGTTCAAGGCAGAGAAACCCACCTTGCTGGCAAAAGGATTATGACTGTCACAGTCTCACAAGCACTTCATTGTCCTCCCCCTGTTGACATTGATCTATTCATGGCAAATGTTTTTCTTGAAAAAGAACCTACTTACTATGGGCAAGCAAAGACAAATCCAGCCTGGGTCAAAGCAATGGAACAAGAGTTACAAGCTCTAGAGCACAATAACACATAGGAACTCACATCACTGCCCAAAGGAAAAAGGCCATTGGGTCAAAATGGGTTTACAAAATAAAAAGGCATAGTGATGGTTCAGTTGAAAGATTTAAAGCCAGACTAGTGCTAAAGGTTACAATCAGCAGGAGGGAGTTGATTTCTTTGACATCTTCTCTCCTGTGGCCAAGTTAGTTACTGTGAGAATTTTTATAGCCATAGCCACTATGCACAACTAGAACCTACATCAAGTAGATGTGAATAATGCCTTCTTACATGGCAACCTAAGTGAGGAAGTATACATGATGCCACCTCAGGGATATTCCAAAGCCAAAACTAGGGAGGTTTGTAAACTCAAGAAAAGTCTTTATGGGCTCAAGCAAGCTTCAAGGGAGTGGAATAAGGAACTTACTCATAAGATCTCTCTTTTTGGCTTAGTTCAGTCTTGTCATGACCACTGCCTATTCACTCTTAAGAAGGACAACAAGTTCATGGCTATTCTCATCTATGTTGATGATGTACTGCTTACAAGCAATGATGAAACATTAGTGGCTGAGCTAAAGGACTTCCTTGACAGAGAATTACCATTAAAGATTTGGGGGCTGCAAAATATTTCTTGGGTGTGGAGGTACTCAGAACTAAAGGAGGGACTACTTTATGCCAAAGGAAATATATACTTGACATGCTGGATGATGTACACATGCTGGATTGTGCAGTAGTTTCCACACCCTTACCTTGTGGGTTGAAACTTCACTCAGGAGATGGTGCACCTATGGCTGAACCTGAGTTATACAGAAGGGTCATAGGTAGGTTGCTCTACCTCAACCTCACTAGGCCAGATATTACCTATGGAGTTCAACAGTTAAGTGAGTTTGTCAATGCTCCATGTTCTTCTCACTGGAATGCAGCCTTGCATATCCTCAAATATTTGAAGGGAACCACAGATCATGGCCTTTTCTTCCCACAGGATGGCTCATTCTCTCTCTCTGCCTACTGTGATGCCGATTGGGCCTCTTGCAAAGACACACGGCGCTCGGTTACTGGATATTGTATCTTCTTAGGAGGAAGCTTGGTCTCTTGGAAAACAAAAAAACAACAAACTGTTTCCCGTTCTTCGGCTGAAGCCGAATACCGTGCCATGAGCACAACCGTGTCTGAACTGCAATGGATCACCTATATCTTGGTTGATTTCTCTATCAAGGTGCCTTATCCCATTCCTCTTTGGTGTGACAACAAAGCTGCTATTCACATTTCTGCCAATCCGGTGTTTCACGAGCGCACCAAACACCTAGAGATTGATTGTCACTTTGTGCGTGACAAATACAAGGACGGTTTTGTTCTTCCTATGCATGTTTCCACTAAGCTGCAACTTGCTGATGTGTTTACAAAGGTGCTGCCTGCTGCTCACGCACGCCTTCTACTGTCCAAGATGAGCGTGTTCTCCACTGGCTCATCTTGAAGGGGAGGTGTTGGAATAGATGATTTAGTGTGCAAGTTTTTTTAAAATTCTGTTGTTTTCTGTTATTTTTCGAACAGTGTAAGTGTGGAAGCACGCGTGCGTGCATTTTATCCTTTTTAGCTGTGTTTTAATAAGTAAGAACGTCGTCGTTTTAAGTGTGTGCGAGGGTATGAGAAAACGACGACGTATTGTACTTGCATGAGCATATTAAATGCTCAGTTTTTCCCCATTTTCATGCATAACAGAAAATTAAGCTCACCTATTTCTTAGAATTCTACATTTTTTATGTGCCATGATATCGACTTGAAGCACCATTTACAAAGTAACATAGAACATGTGATGGCGCATAGTCGTACTCGTTCACCATACAAAAACTATGCTTGATTGGTGAAAATACAGGTCAATTATTGTAATTTTCAACAGGTTGGCCATGCTTAGCTGACCTAACTTCTCTCTCCCGCACTTTCGTACACTCCATATTGTAATAATTATTACATAGCTAACCTAACCTCTCTCTCTACCTCTCCACCCC